CAATAGCTTGTGGAGGAACTGCACCGTCACCCGATTTCATTGAAGTGATCCTGGGTTGGCAAGTGAGGCACAGCATTCGAGGCTGCTTTCATTCGTGGATGGGGAAGAGAGAGGTGCGTATTTGTGGTGGGAGAGTAGGTTCCAATATTGTGCCTTGCATCAAACTAGTGAGAGAGCGAAACCTCCCAATGTGTGCCTATTGTAACAATGACAAGCGTAGTATCATCGAATATGAGCGCAAACAAGAGCGGTCAGTGATGGCGAGATGTCAAGTATCGCGTGGTGCTACAAGCAGCTCAAACCTCTCTCCCTGAAGGGTTTGGAAGGGAGCTACAAGGGTCTGGGTGGTGGGAGGTGATGCCCATCTCCAACTACTTTGGCTGATCCCGTACCGAATTGGTGCTATTCCTCTTGTCTTCTGCCAATTTGTTATGCGGTCGCGTGGTTGTCTAGAGGAAGGCGGTGCGTACCACTTGGACAAGTGGTGTCGGAGAGAGGGGAAGCGGAGCGGGACGGGCCAGGAGAAGGTTGATGAGGAGGCGGCACCACCTCTGCTCCTTAGCCTCCTTCTTCGTCACTCTTCACTTCCCTTTTCCACCCACCCTCTTCCTTGATACCATTTCCTATTACTTTAATGACTACAGCGGCATATGCTACCACTTCTGCTGTCATGCTTGAGTCCGATTGCACGCCTCACTCCCACCTCTCTATGCATTCCAACACCGTTAACCAACCAGTGAAGGCTTTCCTCCCTCCACATTGCCTTCAGAAACGAGATTTGGGTTTCCGCCACCTCCTCTATCATTCAACACGCCAAATGACAGTAGTGATGCGCGTGAATGCATGCGATGCCAAGCCAATTACTACTGGCTGCGAAATCGTCAACGCTGCAAAGAATTGCTAAAGGCGGTGGTGGCACACGCCTTACCGTGCCGCGACCACATTCTTGTTCACGTGAAGTCAACGTGGGAGTGTAGTGGACTTGGAGGGAAGCGAGGCTGATGGAGGAGGAGGTGTGATCTCGTTCACTTTGCCAAAAGACGCACACTCGCCTCCAGACAGGAG